GCTGCAAGGCGAGGGACCTCGTAGACTATTAAGGCCACTGGGACCCGATCCGATGGCCCATGAATCGAACAAAAGTCCCTACAAAAACCAATACTTGAAAACTGACCTGATGCTCACTAACGACTGGCCCTATTCATTCAGTTAACCTAGGGTTCTAGTGGGACCAGTAGTGACCAGTAGTGTACAACCGGTCGAAGATGAGGCAGTAACTCATCGAGGAAGACATTTCGAAGTTGTTGCTCTATGTCATGAATTGGAAGAGGTTAGAATTCATGGACTGGCCACTGGATCGGGTCCCAGTGGCTTAACGGTCTACGAACTAGCTCGTCTTTTAACCAAAAGATCCAAAGTTCGAGCCCTGATGGGTGCGTACTGTCGGAGAGTCCTAAACTAGGACGAAACAGCTGTCCACTACTCCCAGGTTATCCAGTGGTCCTGTAACTGACGTCAACTCATGATGAAATCCTTCAACCAATCAAACAAAAAATCCCTACAAAAACCAATACTTGAAAATTATTCAAATGTGATTTGAATAATGGAAACCCGTAGTCAGTGTTTAATCTAAGTGATACTGACAGATCAGAAGATCGTTTCGCTTATTTCTGTATCTAACGCCTTGAATTCTGACTAACTTACTTGAGTGAACTGGTAAAACAACATTGAATCAGTCTTGTCAACTGCAAAGTATGCACAATTTGAGGTAAAGAAAAAAAACCCACCACAGTTTCTCTTGGATTGACTGTTATGTTATTTATCATCTAAATAATTTTGTTTACCACAGAATACTGTCATGCATTTCCATCTCCAGTTGTGTGTAATTGGTGAATGACAAATACGAATTCAAATTACTTTTAGTTTATAAGTATGTAGGTTTTTAATGTCCCAGGTGTTATAAACTATGTAGAGTTTGAGACAAATACACCCAACTAAAATACGATTATTTCTAATGTAGCCCTCGCCACGAATCACTATCAGTTAGAGAATCATTGGAAACTTGAAAACACTGGACAAACGGTTTTGTCCCAGTTCGGGACTCTTCAGCAACGCACATATAGGACCTCACCAAGGATCAAACCTCTAGGACATTCGAGCTATCGGGCTAGATCGTTGACCATTCATTCAATCGATGGATCTGAATTTAAAGACCCACCGCCAACCACCGTCATCGATGGTCATCCATTTCTTTAATCTGACATATAGTGGACCACCGTAATGGCCACACCTTTACACGGAAACTTTAGAACATCCATCTAATAACTGACAATGATCTAGAGATCAAAATTCAAAGACAAAAACATGATATCTCTGGACATAACATCGTTATTCACAAATGTACCTCTAATAGACGCATTTAATTGGATAGGTGAACAAGTGAACAAGCTGTCAATAAACATTGGCATACATACTGAGATCCTAAAAGAATTGATATTAAGATGTACCATGAATGTAAATTTCAAATTTAACGGCATGCTTTACAGACAAGTGGGCTGGTTGGCGACAGGCTCCCCATCGGGTCCCATTGTGGCTGATTTATTTCTAAGTAAGCTAGAAAATGGACCTCTGAACAACCTTATCAGTAAGCTCTCATTTTATTGCCGATATATGGATGATACATTTATTCTCTGTGATAATGGTTCTGATAGAAGTACAATAATTACTGAATTCAATGAAGTATATTCGGCTATGAAATTCACATGCGAAGAGGAATCCCTAGACAGAATTGCCTTCCTGGATGTCCTACTTACAAGAAAACCAGACGGTAGCATAAAAAGAAATTTGCATAGAAAAAGCACTTGGATAGGACGGTATACACATTTTCACAGCTTCGTTCCTATCAAGTACAAATGAAATTTAGTGAAGACCCTCAGCCACAGAGTTAGAGCTATATGCTCAGAAGAAGTAATTCAAGATGAATTAAGCACTGTATATGATACTTTGATCGAAAATAGCTATCCCGACAAGTTTATCAAGAAACACATGACAAAGAAAGTGGAAAAGGACTACTCACTATCTGTAAACAAGAAGCCGCTTTATATACGACTACAATTCAAGGGCGATATACCAAGTGAGGTAATTACGAAGAAATTAAGAAAATCAGTTCAAAGAACTTTTAATGCTGGCAAAATACACGTCTTATTCTCTACACGACCGATGGTGATTCCTCGACTGAAAGATGAAGTACCTACCTAGACTAGCCACTTCTAATTGTACCTACCAATTCAACTGAGCTTGTGGAGCGAGTTATATTGGCCGTTGCTCTAGAAACTTGATTTTTCATACTCGCTCGAGAACATCTCCCACTATGGCTAAGTAAAGGTGCAGTGAAGACCACTAACAGCTCGATACTGGACCATCTTGTGCAAACCGGCCGCAAAACCAGCGTAGAAGAATCCTTCTCTATAATCTACCGAGTGCCTAATAAATTGCCGAAATCATCGAAACACCGCATGCTCCAAACAGCAGAGGCCATTGCAATTCGCCTCAAACAACCAGTGCTCTGTGTTCAAAAGAAGCAACTCCAGTCCCTACTAATCCCCTGGCCTTCAGTAGAAACTATAAACTCATGAATTTGTAATATTATCTTTCTTAATTTTTCTGACATTCAGCTTATTTTATGTGGATGCCATTGAGCTGTAATCTATCAATATTATTGATTCGATGTTATTTAAACAACATTAATGTTGTTCATAACACTAATTCATTCATTCACTATGATGTATATATAACTAACTGTAGAGCCTGATGATGAAGGGGTTATCGAAAAGAGTATTCTTTGTTCAGTATCCAATCTTTTCAAAATGATGATGAGTTTCGTAGGGGTTAGAATTAATTTCAATGTGGATTTTGTTGCAAGCTAACATCAGTTAAGGATTATTCTGAACCATATAACCACTGCTTAACCTGCATAGTTTATTGAATTTTATTCACCATGTAACTATATATATAAAGAAGTTATGAATTGCACAACAAAAGATCCATTATAATATGCCTTTCTTTCTGATTTCTTAAACACTTTACAATTATAATAAACTACAATTGGAATGAATTATTTTTTGACCTAATTTATTTAAAAGTTGATAAAAGTCATTTTTATTTTTATTATTTTGCCCAAATAGGACCGATTTTAAGTAAAAAGGGATATATGCTTACCTCTCTCTGTGTATGTGAGTGTGTGACAAGGGGAAAACTCACTTATGTCTTGCAGAGAATTACCATCATACACTAACTGGTAGTATTTCACCAAGTTGGTTAAAATACAAAAAGTGAGTGTTATTCTAACTTTGATTAGTAAAAATCTTTTTACTGTCTGCCAGTGAGTGACACTCATACCGTTTTACCAGTTACTAGTTGATTGTTTTGTGACTGTGTGTGTGTGCACGGAGGGGCGGGTGGTCGTGATGGTATGTATGCATGGCTGTATATTTGTATTGATGACCCATTAATGAACGATAATTACTCAAAGTTTACGGCTTAGTTAATCAAGGATTATCGATTACATTAAAAGTGAACATTAATCACATTTACCTGTTAAATATTAGTTTAAATTTTAAGTGATTTTTTAAAGAGAAAGGCATTATGATTACTATTCATTTAGGATAGGATAAATAATTATGATAATTTATACTGGGATCTTTTAAAGGGTAAGATGGGAATTAAAATACTTACAAGATTCACATTCATAATAAGTCATTGTAGAATTGAAAAGATTAGTGAGTGATATTCACGTGTTGAGTCTTGCTTACAATTTTAGACACTTATACATATAATTGTGTGACCTTTAGGAAAAGAACAAGAGATTATGTTATTTTGGTTTGTAATGGTTAATTGGAAAGTGTTGAAGGAACTTATTTAGCTGGGTATACCTACCTCTACAGTGGGTGATATTGTTCCCACCTAGAGTTATAATGTATGAAACAATGGGTGTTGGATTTCAGTCTCAACCATCATTCACTATAGATTCGGATACATCAATTTGATGAGTTCTGAAAAGGATGACATCTACCTCCTGGATTCCATAGTTAGACATCATCAACCAAGTAGTAGTATCTTAAAGCATAATCGAAACGTCCACATTAGGAGTGGACCTATTAACAGGGACGGAACTTTTCCATGCAATATAATCAAAAAGCCAGAAGCTCAAAAAAACTTCAGCGAATAATGAAGAAAACTGATTAGTTGTTCATGGAAATTACTTCATTTCCTTGTAATGTACTTTCTCAAATGTCGACTTAACTTATAATTCCAAGTAGAATATGAGGCTTTTAGCACCACATGTTCGCTTTGTTCTGTTGTCTGTAGTTCTTTTTAGCCGACCAGACGGTTGCCAATAGTTTCTAATCTTCTCCTTGCACTATCTCCTCCATGTCACCCTCATAAATACGTATAAGTTGTCGTTTCACATTTGGGTTTTATTCGGGCGATGAACTGGTGCGCAGTGTTACTCAGCAGTCTCCTTAGTGACATGTATCCAATCCATCGCCGTTCCCTTCAGTATGTTTGCTGAGCAATATTCTCTTGGTCGGTTCATTCCTAGAGCTCCTTGTTGCTAATTCTTTCCAACTGACCATCTGATCTTCAGTAGGGAGCTAATGAAGACAGCTATTGATAAAAATCTTCAATGGTCTGTCGGAAACGGTTTTTGTGACGCGTACGTCAGGTTTATCACCCATATACAAGAACTGAGTAATGAATGTCTAGCTTACCCTTCCGACCATGACTTTAACGTCCTCATTCGTGAGAACTGTCTGCAGTTGAAACGATGTTGCCTGGCCGGATAAGTCAAGGAAGTAACATCTTTCAAATATATTCCGTTGATATTACTACGTGAGATATATTCTGAAAGGGTAGGTTGACTTCCATGAAATAGTTTCAAGACTAAGGTAAGGAGGAAACTGTAAACGCTATGAGGTTTCAAACCAATGATTTTACAGAATATACACTGGAATAAATGTTAAATAATAAATAAAATATAAGAAAAGATAATCATCAGGGGAACTTACCAGCTATAGATAAATATTGTTTTTGACGAAATTTTCTTTCCAATGCTAATAATTGTTGTGTTGTAAATGGTGTTCTTGGACGACGATTTGGTTTATGCTTTCGAAGGGTACATTTCGGTGGAACAGGTCGATCTGAATTGTATATATTTTATGATAGAAAAACGACAAAAGTAAAAAAGAATACGGACTTTAAATAATTTGAAGTATGAATTAAACTGTAAACTAAATAACTCTATAAAAGTGGTGAACAAAGTGCGTCGGTGGCATGGCGGTTAGGATGCTCGCCGACCATGCACATGGTTCGAGGTTCGATCCCCAGCCACCGACGCACTCCTTTACCTCAATAAACCAGAAATAATGCTGGTCAAGAGGAAAGGTTGGGCATCTGGCGGTTAGCAACCCCATCCTGTAAAAATAAATATTGCTACAGAAACTCCAAGCCACTAGCTTGAAGGCGCCCTATGTTCCACTGGGAACGTGAAGGAAAAAGAAGACATTTGGTAACCCACAGACATAACTAAATGATTATAACAACAAGAACTTAAGAAAATGAGATGCTTTGTCTCAGACGGAAATCTAGTATGGAAAGTTCTCAAATGAGATAAGTCGTACCAAGGTAAGTACACTAAATCACACCGTTTTTCTATGACATTGAAACAAGAAACCCAACTTGATCGCATCATCGGGCCTGGTTATATCTTCACCAACAAAGTTTATGTTACGGATACCGTTAGGCCTAGTGACTGAATATTTAAGATTGGATTTCGAAAATGCTTATAGAATGTCATATGGTTACTATTTTTATAGTATAATTGCTCTCCTAACCATCTATCTCATACTTTTAATCCTGACTGCTGGCCTAAATTTTCTATCCACCAAAATGCATCGTATTTACTCCATTTCATATTAATTTGTCCATCTAATTACCACAATGAGTCTTAGTTTATTATTATTAGTGTTCCCTTGGGTTCCTAGTGGAACATAGAGCTTCAACTGCACGTCTCCACTTGCTTCTGTTCTCTGCTGCGCTTTTCACCTGCATCCATGTTAGTCCATACTGTTTCAACTTCTCTTCACACCATCTCCTCCATGTCACCCTTGGATTGACGTCCCACTCGCCGTTTCCCTTTCGGGTTCCACTCGAGGGCTTGACGCGCGATGTCACCCAGTGGTCTCCTCAGCGAGTGTCCAATCCATCTCCACTTTCTCCTGCATATTTGTTGGTTGGCGATTGGTTCTTGTTTCGTTTCTTCCCATAGTTTCTTGTTGGTGATTGTTTCCGGCTTGGGCATTTGATCTTCAGTATAGAGCCGGTGAAGACATTTGTTGATTAAGGTCTGCAACAGGCTGTTGAAAGTTTTTTTTGTGACCCGCCCGCCAAGTTTCTGATCTGTATAGAAGAACTGACTTGAAAATCCGACTGGATTTTGTTGCTGATGCCTAGTGACGAAGATTTCCAGATTGGTTTCAGATTGATGAATGTGTGTGTTTCTCGCCTTCCCGATTCTCGCTCGATTTGACATCCTCGTCCGTCCCGACTGCCTGTACTTGAGACAATGCTCCCTAGATAAGCGAGTGAATGAAGTAACTTCTTTCAAATCCCTCTCGTTGATGGTGATTGGCGTTGGATGTTGCTGCTGCTGTTGTTGTTGTTGTTGGTGGTGGTGGTTGGTCATTTTCATAACCTTCGTCTTGTCTATTTTCACCTGTAGTCCTGTCTTCGCCGGCTGCTTCTTCGACCAGTTTGTCGGTTTTCGCTTGTAAGTCTTCGATTTTGTGTGACATCGCACACAATATCAAATAAGTTTCTACCTACTACTAGGGGTTTTATCGAAGGAAATTAAGAAAAATTATTGTGAAGTTGTGTTGGAGCATACTTGAGAAGGAGCAATACTGCCTTAGATGGTAATATGATTGCCTGGTTATTGTATGATTTGAAGTTTCCTCATAAGGAGTAAAATACGTTACAATGAAGTTGGTTGAGAAATCCGTATGGTGTATAAGTGCATCTTTCAAAACAAAGCGATTATTACTGTTACTATAGTCATTTGAAACATTCTAGCAATTATGATGAATGAAAACGAATGAGTATTGGATAAATTGCCTCTAATCAACTATCATATTCGTTAATGTGAGTAAATTTCAGCTATAGATCAATGTCTAACAGTTGTATACGTGAGGCGATAATAAATTATCAACGTTTAGTCAAAATGTAACTAGCCAGTGTTAGAGTAGAGATTTTAAATCAATACTTTCGAAAAAGTAAGCGCCACACACACACACACTATCACTATCGTGAGCAACTGCAATTATTGGTATATGAATTTTTCCCAAACAATACTATCATTGTTCCAAGTGGCTTTAAGCATGCTCATTCCGTAGGATTTGTATACTTGGAGGATGATATATGGTGAAATGGGAGAATTAGTCATTTCAGAAGCTAAATAACCATACACTGTATTAGATGATATAATTGTCTGTGGCAACATTACTTCAATGACCTACCGTTTCAGTAGTCTATCTTGTGAACAAATGATAAAACTAGGGTAATATTCGTTTCAAGAAATGTAACACAATTTTGAGCAATAAGTTATAATTCACAACTGATATGTGGTAGTTTATGACACTAGTCGAAATTATGTAAATCAAGTAGTTAATCATTTTAGGCGGTTAGAGGTAATCAGAAGGAAGCCCCTAAAAGCCTGGGTTTCGTGTTGATCGGCACTCATCAGCAAAGCCCAACTTAGGATTCAGATGGAATGATATCCCCTCACTTGTTATCTCACCTGAAAAGGTTATGCCTGGTGTGGTGATGACACATGCGCAGTTGATTTTAAGTGAGTGACAAGCGGTTCAGAAACTGAAGTGATTTTTTTCTATTCCTTTATGTTCCTGGTGGAAAATACGGTTTCATGTTTTAGCGGTGACTTTCCTTATTACGCTGTGGAGTTGCTAGCCTCTTGCCTAACCTTCTTTCTTTTCTGGTTTTACTTACAGGCTTCGCGAGGTTTAGAAGTGCGTCAGCCAAGGACCGATCTCCGGATCGCTTCCGTGGTTGGCGAGCTTTCAACCGTTGGACGACCGACGCACTAAAAGCCAAAATGAAATTACAATAAATTCATAAATTTAACCATACGTAACAGATCTTAGGGCGTGAAATACCAATAATGGAACTAAGATGTTTTTCTCTTCTCAACATAACTCTACTCTTATTACCACTACGGTTAGCACACTCATCGTTAGCCCCAGTAACAAATAAATAATATTACAACAGCCTTATTTGTATTGTAGTCCATATGATATGATTGTCCCTATATTTCATTGTAATCAAATATTTGTATTTATATAACATAAAAGTGAGATATAGTAATGAATTGCATTCTAGTACATGACTACTTGATATAACATAAAACGACGAAGCGGTATTAAAAAACTTGTTATATGTGTGTATGAAAATGTGATAATAATAATAATAATAATAAGGAAATTATTTATGGTTTGTATATAGAATTCACTTGTTGACCGCACATAGTTTAATAATTGCCCATTAATGAAAATAATACTATTGACAATAATGATTACTACTATGCTATAATAATAATAATAATAATAATAATAATAATAATAATAATAGTAATTACATTGAATATATTCATTAAATACTTGTTTATTTTACGGCACTAATCAGAATACTTTGAACTTATTCACAGGTCATTAGGCTTAATATAATAAATAACACATAATAGTGATATTAAAAATAATGACTGAGGTTTATATTTAATTTTAAAAAATAGGAAGTTTAATTGTAATGATTACATATTGTAATTTTTCCTAAATTTGACTACAAAGAAAAACGTAACATCTTCCAAAAGAATGGATATCCACGGAATTTCATCAAAAGGCATATACCCCCAAGCCAACCTATCAAACCAAAAGCCGCTAAGGAAAGCACAAAGAAAATCGCCCTACCATATATAAAGGATATGTTAGAAATCACTGCAAGACTCTTCAAACCTCTAGGAATTGACGTCGTACACAAACTAACAAAGCCGCTTCACTCAGCTGGCTGTATGTCAACTAAAAGACTCAACAGAGAAAGGAGATAAAACCAACATCATCTTCAAAATAAATTGTAAAAACTGCGAAAAACACGATATTGGCTTAAGTGGACACCGTCTTCGTCTTTGTATCCGCGATCATAAACTAGCCGTCAAAAGACTTGACATCTACTCCCTCATATCGCCATATTGCATACAGACAACCACGGACATCAGTTCGACTGGGACAACGTTCAAATATTAGACAGTGGAAACAACAAGAATGCTAGAGAATTTTTGGAAGCTTGGCATTCCAGTGAATCATCAATCAATAGACACATCGAGATAGACAAAATTTATCAACCGATAAGAAAGAAACCTCACACACAAAGGGTCAACATTCGAGTCAAAAAAACAATCAGTTCCAATACAAGTAGCCTAGAGGGCGTGAAGACAAACAGTTACAACCAATCACTCCCAAGGTCACCAGGAGAGATGATTAATAAACTCGTGGAGAAATCTAAAAGCTCACTTCAACAGATTGAAGTATGCGCTGAAGATGTCACCTAGTAGGGCGGGCGATGAAAGCTTCGCAAATTAACTATCCAACTCAGAGAACACAACCATATCAAAAAAGTAACTCGTTGCAAATCGACATCATCGAGGTAATCATTGCAAAACTAAGGGGCACTAGGAAGCCGTTTCTTTCTAGTTTGAGACTGTTCAGCATAGTACGCTAACAACTACACAAGGGGTTGAACCAAGGACCTACATGCTGAAAAGTGAGACTGTTATGCTATTCAAACTAGTCATTTGGAGTCCTAATGACACAGAGTTTTTTATTTCTATCAATTCACGATTTTCACACCACCAATCAAAGCTACTGATGAGCACATACACAAACATACGACATGGTGGATATTATCCGTGACGATGCATACACTGTAGTTAGTAATGAAAGTGAGATTAAAATTCAGATTTCAACTTAGAGTTCATAGAGGAGAAAAGCATTGACATTTATGGATCAAGCTATTAAATGATGGTGACAGTGAGATATTCTTGGACTGACAGACTATTAATGTTGTAATGGGTTGTGAATGAAAGTGAAATGAGACAGGCCTCTTAGCTTAGTTAGTAGAGCACACAACTGATAATTAAGAGGCTACTAGTTCCAATCCTGAAGCGATTTAGACTTTCGTCACACTTTTAATCATCACCTATGAGTGATACATTATTTATTTTTTATTTTACTTATATAATTAATAAAAACAACTGCACATTCATTTGTATTACTGTAGGTTAATTACCAAATATCCCATAAGAATACAGTGAAAGTTATCTATATGGCTTAACTTGAATTCAAGAAATAGTTCTTTTCTTTGTCAAATCAGTGCTTAAACCAACTTTCGAAAACTACTAACTTCCATATTACTTTGTACATGTGACAAAATTCACAATAATATTGCATAACATATATTATACCGTAAACTTTTCTATTTTTTTAAATTGAATTTAAGACTTTCCCGTCGATTGATTCGACTGAAGGGCTCAGTCTCAGGTTGACATATCGGCTTCTTGTGCAGATGCTTCGACGATGTCTGGGCATGTAATTAGAGGTTAACTGGAGGATGGTGACTAGCAGTGGAATCCAGGATAAAGCGCATTTCGTCCTATTTGGGACTCGTCATCTTGATGTGCCTGCATTCGATGGGAAAATAATTAATATCACCCGTTGCCCAAGACGTGGCTCTCATGACCCAGGTGGTCTAGTGGATAACGCTTTGGCGTTTGAAACTACGGTCACTGGGTTTGAGCCTCGGTGGGGAACATCATCCCTCACTGGGGGATGCAGATACATCCAGCTGACGAATCTCAAATATTTTCTATTTTTTCATTGATTATGTCGATTATGCAGAAACATTTCCTTAATTCACTAGATCTTATGAACTAGTAGTCTAAAGATGATTGTTTTCAATCCTTCCTTAACCCAACTGTTTTCTGACTAACACTCAACCACCATACACTATGTTATCTGGTTGATGGTGGCTGGCAATAGAATCCAGTATACATGATTCGTCCTGTTTAAAACTTGTCGTTTGAATGTACCTGTCGGTGATGAGTGATATTCCTATTTAGACTTGAAGTCGACCACCCAGTCTTTTTAATTTAATTTTTTAAATTTTCGATTACAGCTTGATTCCACACTGTATTTTTGGTACTAGTATGGGATTTTCAGCATGGATATCGGTAGCCTAAATTTTCCAGGCCGACCATAGATATCAGGTGTGCGTCGGCAGGGGCTCGAACCTCGGACCATGTGCATGATCGGCGAGAGTCTTAACCACTTTGCCACCGACGCACTTGGTTCAGTATATTCAATCACCTGGAAATATCATAAATTAACTTAAATGTATAACAAGTATAGAGAAAGAAAAAAACAGGGCAAACTTACAGCCTAATCCTCCATTTCCAAAAGTTAAATAATCATTATACGCTGATTCATGAAATGGATTATAAAATTCATGTTGTTTAAAATAAGAATTGTGATTATGACTCAATTCATTGTTGCTATTATTATTATTATTATTATTATTATTAGGAGTAGCAGTCGTAGAAGTGGTATTATGACTTTTAATAGAATGACTCTTATGATTGTAATCTTTATTAGGATAAATCAATGCAGATATATCAGTTGTCGAATATGCATTTGTTGATTCTCCAGTCTTATGACGATCATAATGTTTTTTAACTTTACCAGCGTGTTTTTGTTCATTACAGACATTGTTATCAGTTTTTGTAGAGGTATTCCCATTGGGTTTATGCTTGAAATGAATTTGTTTCTTGTTCATATCATCATCTTCCTTATGTAGAATATTTTCATTGTCGCATTCTGAGTTGTAGTCAATCACTTTTAACTCTGAATTATCTTTATTTGAATTAAAGGCATAATGATGATTGTTTGGTGGACAGATATCATTCTGATAATAGTCAATACTACTACTATGATCATCTTCATTAGCATCATGGATAACATCCTCATCATTATCCTCATCCTCATCCCCGTTATCCTCATTGACGTCGACATCATCGTCTAATAATGCATCAATAGAAAAATGTAATTGTCCTGTAGTTTTTGTTGTCATCATGCTTTCATTATCTTCAGTATTGACAATACTACTGTTATTATTATTAGTAGTAGTAGAAGTTGTAGAGGTGGTAATACTAGTGGTTGTATGCTTTCCAATTTCATGTTTCCAGCTTGATAAATATTCCGGTGAATAGCGTGAAACATCTTGAATACTTTCATAATCCATTGAATTATTCAACATATTCACAATGGATAGCGTTTTACAATCAAATAATAATTAGTCAAATATTTAAATAGCTAACATAATTGTAATAATAGTAATAATGATAATTATTGTTATTATCGTTATAATAACTTTCGTTTTCAATGTCACTTGTAAAACGCTAATTATTTATTTATTGACCAATCATAATAAAATACTGATAAATAATAATATATTACTGCGCATAAATGTAACCAATCACAAAAGAGTATAATTCGTAAATTTAACCAATCATAATAATTAGATTTTTGGAGAGGACATATGTAAGGATACCACTTTACCTAAGGTAAATAGGCGAGAAAAATTGTTTTCCTTAACTTTGTAGTCACACAAATTTTTAATTTGTTATTAAAACCAGAGAATTAAATGTCCTTTTTGGTAAAACAAAAATGATTTTCCAGCTACCCAGTGAAACTCAACTCGGTTACTTAGTTTCTTCAATTAAGGTGACTCCATTTACATAATACCGATGAATATGGCTAGTGGTAAAAACCCCTTAACCCAGGCGAAACTGCTGAAGAGTAAATTTAAATACCAGGTAGTGTGTTAATCGTTTAGTGGTCAGAATGCTTGACAACTACACACGTGGGAGGTTCAGATTCGACTCCCGTTCGACAGACTTCTGAAATTAGCCAAATTTGTTCTTCAAGTATTGGTTGTAGGGATTTGATTGATTGGTTACAGGACTACATCGTGATCTGATATCGGTTAGAGAACCACTGAAAAACTTGGGAGTACTAGACAGTTGTTTCGTCCTGGTTTGGAACTCTTCATCATCAGCTGCTAGTAAGAGTGAAAAAGGGGCTGGATAGGAGCCTTATAATCCCATCCTATAAAAACAACACCGTCGTTACTGAAACGTCAAAGCTTTGAAATCTTATATTCCACCTGGAAATCAAGGAGTGAAGAAAAACACAAAGCTAGATTTTCTAAAATCTTATTCCTTTACGTTCCTAATGGGGCTTCAAGCTAGCTAGCACCTTAAAGTTTCGGTAGCAGTGGTTTTATTTTTACGGGGTGGAGTTGCTAGCCTCACTCCCATCCTCACCTTTCTACCGGTCCTACCCGGATTTAATGGGGTTCAGGAGCACATTGACTGAGGATCGAAGCCTAGACCACGTGTGTGACATAGTTGGCCAGTGTTCTACCGCTGAACCGTAGACATATACGACACTAGGTAACCATTTAAATTGTTTAAGAATTTCAAGGTATATTTCGTCATGAAGTGACATCGTTTAGAGAATTATTGAAAGGTAGGAAGTATTAGACAGGCGATTCATTCTAGCTTATGACTCTTTAGAATTACATATACACACTTCGGTAAATTGATTGAATTCAAGAGCTTTAGGTTACCAAGCCAACCTTTTAACCGTCCCATCATCAGGTTGGAATTTTTGAATTCTAATTTCAAAAGATTACTGAGCAAGGAATATTCTTTTCAATAATTTCATCATCAGGTCCTACAGTTATATATCCGTTATAAGGAATGATTGTTACTGACAACATTGGTGTTTTTTAAAAGGTAATATCGAATCACTGAAATCGGAATACCAAAAGTTATTTTCAAATGGATTGTTAATAGATTATAGTCTAAAAAATATATATGTGATATTTTCAATAGTTGGTTTGTAAGGATTAGATTGATTTTCACGAGCTGATCGATATCAGTTAAAGAACCATTGGAAACCATATGCGAGTACTGGACAGCTGTTTCATTCTAGTTTGAGAATCATCGACAGTACGCAACCACTGCCAGGGTTGGAACACAGGACCTTCCGGTTACTAGGCAAGCTCGTAGACAATCCAGACACTGGCACCCGACTCCTCGATGGCCAGCCAGCCCACGAATTCTAACTTCTATCAATTCGTCATTTAGCACGACCACCAACCTATGTCAATCCGCGATCAAGTCCTAGAAAAATATATAATAATATGTATAATTGTAACACTAAATTGAACACCAATATTAAAGAGTAAGTGTTTATGAATGACAACGAATATATAGTAACGAATTCTCATGAGCCATGTCCATATTAATGGCCTAATGGTCTACGAGTGTGCCTTGTAACCAGAAGTTCCTGTGTTCGAACGCCTGTGGGCGAGTGCCGATGAAGAGTAGCAAACTAGGACGAAACATCTGTCCAATACTTCAAGGTTTTCCAGTTTGTCTCTAATTGATATCAGCTCATGACAAAATCCTCAAATCAATCAAATCCCTGCAAACCAATACATGAATAAATTCTTTTCATATTGATTATACCATTCGGATGGATGGTTGACGATTTCATGGACGGAGGGAGAGAAAAAATTATGAGTAGAAGGTTATGTGCCTGTATGTGTATCAGTGTGCAAGTTAACAACTGGATTTAAACAAAAAAACAAAAGGTGACTTAATTTTGTTTCTTTGCCTGTTCTTTAATTTGCTTATAATTCTTGCATTCATTTAGAACTCTTACGTAATTTCGTATTCTCTAATTTGTTCCTATGTGTATCCTGAGTACAACTCAATCCTCAAACTATTCATATTATTACATAACTTCTTTTTTAACAACTCTTTGCAACAACTCATCACCCTAATTTCATTAACACCTATTTTTCTTGACTGAATTTATATTACGTAACTCCTATTACCAGTCTTCCCCTGTTTAGTTAAAATAACCATAAACAATTGTATTTTTATTTGACAAACTTAATGTATTAGTTTCGTAGGCATTTTGTTTGATTGATATAAGAATAAAACTTGTGCACTGTGGTAGAGTGTAATTCCATTATGGGTAAATTTTGTTTCGATAACGTCTCACAGTGTTATACGTCATCAGCAAACATTGTAAGGCATGGTAAGTTCGGCGGTTTTCTAATGTTCAAACTATGCTTGTCTACTTTCAGGTTGGCTGCGAAGTATGCAGGGATTGGTTACCCAAGACGAGGCAACGGATGACCAATAGGAGTGCCCTTCCCTCTTATCTAATTGTATTGCGATTGGTTGTAAATATAATACTTGACCTTGAGTCTTCGTTCTTACTAGCACGCAACACTTGTGTGATCACACTGCTAACGTGCGCTTTGCTCTCTGTTTCAGATCATTGCTTGACGAGTGGGATTACATAAATGGCGAGCCTGCCAACGAAAAAACTTTCTTCTTATAAGTCTCGACCCAATGAGGCTTCCAAGAACACTTCTCCTGTCAAACAGACAGCATCCAACGAGGTGGATCAATTAGCTGAAGTGAGGGCTCCAGCTTTTCAGTCAAATCAGCCTGCTTCGCGATATGTCCATCCCTTGCCGCATACACTGGAGGTGGGTGATGATTTCGAGCTGTGGTCGGACAAGGTGTGCCGATACATTGATCTGATGAACGTGCCTCACCCGAACGCATTCGTCATCGATTCTGTTGGACGGTCCTTGGAAATGTACACAATTGGTTTGGATTACGTGCATATGCCCTTGACCACCCTGTTGAGTACTCTAAGAGCACGTATAGTGCCACCAATACCTCCCATTGAAGCGCTGAAAAGATTCAGCGAGTGCAACCAGAGACAAGGTGAATCTATCAACCAGTTCACCTTACGTCTCCGCAAGCTTGCGCGTCAAGCTATGCAGGACAAGACATATTCAGAGGTTGAAAACGCTATATATTCCAAGTTCTTGCAGGGTGTCGACGTCCGTTACAGGAAGGACTTCAACTTGCACACTCCAGCATCCATGGCAGAAGCGGAAGCTAGGGCACGCCTAGTGGAAAGCCTGGAAGAGCCAGGAACCACATGCCCACAAGTAAACGCAATGGGATATCAGCACACAACAACAAAGCATGCACAGAATCCTACACCACCGTGGAAAGGACGCCCACAGTCGCAATCCACTTCAAGAAACGATTGCTACTACTGCAGGCGGTTTGGTAAGCTTGCTAGGAGTTGTGGTCACAATGCAGGTGAGTCACATGTCGATATGAATTGTGTGCCTACTGTAAACCTAATCGGTGTCACCTCCTCCCCGAAAGTTGTAGGTTATATAGGTGGAAAAAAGTGTGTTATGTTAGTTGACTCAGGAGCAACTTGTTCTGTCGTACATTCCTCATGTGTTCCAGAGACGTTTAGGCCAACAATAGGGACTCACAATTTGCGGCTTACGACAGCCAATGGAGATTGCATGCAATCCCAGGGACTGGTCCTGCTGCCACTTAAATTGGGAACACTGTCACTTCAACACAATTTCATCATCTCTACCCGGGTGCCGTGGCAGGTAATCTTGGGAGTCGACCTCCTGGAAAAGCTGTCCGGAATAATAGATTGTAGTCAGAGGACTCTTATACTGAAGGACTGTTCCATCCCATTTATTGTAGGGAACGACAAAGAGCACGGCACTTTTGGCGTGCAGGGAGATGCTAAGATGAGAAACAGCGAATGCTGACGACTATAGAACCCCTACCATCGGAAACGGCTGCCAACTTTAATAAAATGCTAGACAAATATGAGGACTGTTTTGACTGGGATGGAAAAAGCCCGGGAAGAACAAAACTGGTCCAACATCACATAGAAACGGGTAACGCCCCACCTTGTAGACAACCTGCACGGCGAGTACCTGCACATTACCAGAAGGAGCTTAACAGGTTAGTTGATGAACTGTTAGAGAAAAATGTCATCAAACCATCCGTATCTCCATGGGCTTCACCGGTAGTTTTAGTTAAGAAATCGAATGGGACACTCCGGTTATGTGTAGATTATCGTAAGTTGAACCTGTTAACTAGACGAGACTGCTTTCCCCTTCCACGCATAGACGACACTTTTGATGCCTTAGAGGGGTCGAATTGGTTTACCACTCTAGATCTGGCATCGGGATATTGGCAGGTTGAAGTACACCCAGATGACAGGCAAAAGACAGCATTCATTGTACAAGCAGGCCTGTATGAGTTTGAAACAATGCCGTTTGGGTTAGTCAATGCCCCAGCAACATTCCAACGCCTCATGCAAACGGTCTTGAGTGATTGCATACCAGGTAAGTGTTTGGTATATCTAGATGATGTTATCATACATAGTAAGACGTTGACCGAACATTTAAGTGATATTTCCGAAGTATTAGAACGGATGCAGACCGTTGGGTTAAAACTGA